CCCCCCCCATTATTTAAGCTCTCTAGTGTTCCCTCCCCCCACCCCATTCAGAACTAATTGCTCAGTTACTTAAATGTTTCAAAAAGAGCTAAATTTCTCCATCCGATGATCTTTTGAGAAGCTGCACTGTACCATAAGGAACCGCCAGCGGGGCACTGTATGCCTTAGAGGAGCCTGCGCAACTAGGGGAGAGGTAGCGTTAAAACAATGACATTAATAAACTAAGTGCACCGGGTTCCCCTCCTGTTGAACTTTAGGGAGTTTCTTGGGCGGGCAGAGGTTGAACGGAGAACGTCGAAATGGGAAACAATGGCTGTAGGGGCCAGAAAGCTTTGCTGATGTCGTAAGCGTAAAACAAGACAGAATAGTGACAGAAAGAGATCCGAGTAAACATTGGAGTATACATTTCCCACGGCGACTACGCCGAGTGGAGAGGTCTGAATTAAATCGCCTTAATTAAAAGCTGAAGATTTTATTTATTTATTCCTGTAGCTGTAGAATGTCATCCACAGAAAGCCTATCTAGGGAGTGTAGAGCATCCACTAGATTTATTGTGTTCAGTTGCCAGTGCCAGAATTTTTCAGAACAGAATATTTTTATACTCACTGCCAACTTGAAGACCTGCGGGTTTTTAGATCCTACATATGGCTATTATTTTATATGCCAGTGTGCAGAAAAGAGAGGTTGCACCTGCATAGGCAATTGCTATACCTGCGTTACGAAAGCTGTCCTTAATTCAGAAATCGAGCAAAATTTTAAAATATCCTATAAGAATTATCCACAGAGTTATGCAGACGACGATAATAAAATGCGAGAGAGAAATTAACAAGTTAATAGCCTTGTTCTGTTCTCGAGGTTTAAATACATAATTTTATATTCTCTTGGGTTTACTGTTAAAACATTCTAGGCCGGTGCTTTTGTCGGCGTTGTGATGTTGAAGCAAAGACGTGAAATAAAATACTAGGGGGAAAAAGAAAGACCTGGAGAGAAAAATAAAACCCAACAAAACAAACCCCAAGTAGTGCTTGAAGAAGACCTCTAGCTGCTCTTTGACTCCTAAGAAACTGTTGCTGGAATATTTTCACGGTGTTGTTCTAAAGCTCTTTAGCCTCCTATAAACGTAATGTTTGGCAAGTGACACATGGATCTGGTTTTGCAGTTTTTCGGCGACTCGAGAGAAAAGACGCCCTTTCCCCCCTCCTCCACCCGCAGGTCTTCAAGT